CCAACACTAGAGAATGAATACACCCACCCCCCTCCCTATGCACTGGTACAATGTGTCTGTAAGTTAGTGCATTAAATACAAACCCTATTCCCAGTGCATAGGCTGTCAGAAGTGTGCCACCAAACTTTACAAAGAAGATATCTGGGTACTTCTCAGGGAGCAGAACTGTCTTCAACTGGTGCTTAAACATCTTTGCAGGGGGGAAAGTAATCCCGCCCTCTCTAGCATGACTTAAAAAAACGAAGGGCTGTTCATATATGTACCTGGGTACATTAATAGCAGCATTGTTTGATTTGGGAGGCACGGGTCTATCGTGGGTTCCGCTCCTGCCCCTGTCTTGTACATTTATAATAATCTTTCCCTCATAAGCACTACCATTCGTATCAGAGGATACAAATCATTAGTAAGAGAGTTAGAGGGGATTTTAAACGTCTTCCAAAGCTTTTTAAGCAATCTGTTTAAAAGATTAATTTTATTTTGAAGGGACGGGACTGCATCTCTTGGAACAAAAAGTTAATTAGGAACAGAGCACCAAAATTCAATTTTTCATCCCCGCTAAGTGACGTGTGGTTAGGAGTTTGACCTCCCGAAATCAGAGACTCTCTGAATCTCCAACTTGGCGGGGGCTGCTTTCCTAGCAGAAAATCCTCAATCCCAGAGCCACAGCCAGTTCACATGATCCCGGTCCAGACGTTTTGCATGGCCTCTCCAAGCAGCATTAATTTCCTAGCCTTTTAAACTCTGGGCAGGCCATTGTACTCCTCTTTAAATTAAGCTTGGTGGAGACAGGACAGAGAGCCCAGCTGCAGGTCACGGACGGTTCGGTGCTGGCTGGGGTCACGGCTGAAAGGTTTGGCTCAGGGATTCTGTTTACTTTGTTTTTGATATTAATTAGGCACCAAGTGGAATCGCTCAGTGGAAAATGGAGCCTACACCTTGGAATAACTCTGAATTTTAAAGCCTGAAGCATGAGTTTAACAGCTGGCGGCTTTTCTCTGCTAACACCTACTCCAGCATGGTAACCCCTCCCCTAGCTATCAGCCTGAGCTACACATTTGGGGGCGTGTTTCCCACTCTCCCGTTCTTCCCCCCCCCCCCGCCCCGCTTCCCATCATTTAACAAGGAGTGGAGAAAAAATAATCACCACCAGCAAAACCTACACCCTGCCCAGCAGCAAAGTCAGTGGCTGACAAACGCGATTAAAAATTGTGTTTGACAGTCTCTCCTCCTCCTAATAAAAAACTGGAAAGGCCAGAGCGCCTTATTTGTCATGCTTGCTGATGCTCATTTATGCTGTTGCCAGCAGCTGCAGCAGCACGATTCTGAGGGATTTTAAAGTGCTCGTTACTATTTATGGCCCTTAAGTGCCTTGTGGACTCAAATCTCCCCTATTTTTTTCAGCACGGGGCTGCCATGGGTTTTTGATGTTTTTTTAAAAAAAAAATCGCGATATTTATTTTAACGTGGGAAGTTTCTCTTGCATCTGAGGCATGTTTGCCTCTCAGAACGTCGCGACCTGTCCCCCCCCTCCTGCGTCCGAGCAGTGTCCCTCTTCACGGCCCTGCAGGATGCGACAGCCCCACAGAAGGGAAAAACCTGCCTTTTCCATTTGTGGGAGGAGTAAATCGCATCTTTGTCCCCTGGTGTTTGATACTGATGGGACAGAGTTTTGCAAGAGTACTGGGAACTGTGACTGGCGACACTTCCTGTGTTTGCTAAGAAACCAGGCCTTCCGGCCCTTACACTGGATTTTCAAAGCAGAGCTTTTCCCTTTTTCAGTAGCTACGAGGAGTTTTCACTGTCGGTCGTCTTGTCCCACAAGCTTGTGAATTCTCCTCTTGCATTGAGCAGCGCCCTGAAACCAGAGATGCTGCAGACTGTCCCCTGGAGACAGCACCGTCCATCTAGCTGCTGTAGCCAAGGACTCACAAGACTTTGCAGGTGGTGTGGTGTGGAAGCAGAGAGTGAGAACTCAGTTTTTCTCCGACAGTGGGTTCAGGACACTCAGACTCTCAGCTGTTTTCATCAAGTCAGGTGAACCCATGGGCTTGAGGAGTCTGTATACACCATCTTCCTGGCACAGGAGAAGCTGGGTTTGCCAGCTCCACCTTCACAATCTCGTCGGGCACAGTCAAGTTTCTATGTCGAAATGTAAAGGAACAGGGCAGAGCACGGAACTCCTTGCTGGCAGTTTGGAGCACGACCAAATGTAGTATTTTAGAGCTAGCGTAGGGTCTGAATGGGGAACCAGTCCAGTTCACATCTGTGCCCCCCATGTCGAGGAAAGCGTTTGCTCGCAGAGCAGTTCTTTGGCTTGCGGATCCCTCCAGCTTGTGCCGCAGGTCCCTTTCCACCCATGCCAATTTCCAATTCACCCACGTCGCTTTCACCATCCTTCAGAACCTGTGCTTTGGAGGCGTTTTTAAGCTATATTCAAAAAGGAAACACAAGGGAAATGCCAATATACAACCCTCCCAAGCATAAAAAAGACCCCTCATACTTATCCCATGACTTGGATGTAGCCAGTAGCAGAAGTTCGCTGCTTACAAACATGGCTATTGACATTCAGGCCAAGTAATACGTACCCTTTTAAAAAACACATGGCTGAGGAACATTGGAAAAAATCGCCATTAGGAAAGACAAATAAAAAATAACCTCCTGGTCCACCCTGTGCTTAAACACGTGTTGGACAGTGGCACCAGCACCGTAGCCAGAAAATGCAGGATCAGCACGCGTGGTCGAAAGGAAGAGGGACTGAACGCAGCCTGGAGAGTCAGCCGTCACCTTGCGCATTACAGACAATTTGCATTGTGCATCGTATTTAAACAAGTTCCGTCACCTGCACGATATGAAGACTTGAGGAGAAAGAGGTTAAAACTAGATCTCTCTCCGAAGGCTAGAAAAGGTGCATTGGCTTCTTCAAAATATAATTGCAGTGTGAATAAAAACAATCCAACTAATTTAAACCGATGTAAAAAAAAATCCTGTACTAAGTTTATGGCAGGTGTTGAAGCAGCAGTATTGATGTGGTTATGTATACATTAAAGATCTTAGTGGCTCCCTGTAGTGTTAGTTTTAGGCAAATATGGAGCTTGGCATGACTGGTCCTACAGAAAAGGGACTCTATCACTAGAATATTTTTGTATCAGGATTTGATATTAAAGAGGGACCCACTAGATGTGTCCCCCCCAGAGTAGTTACAATCTAGTAGGTAAATACAAGGTAAGGGCAAAAGTCTCCTCTATCAGGCAGAGTGAATTTCTCTGCCAGCATACATTCTGTACATAAGCACTCCAGTTGGCTTCAATGGGAGTCTTATGCAGAGGAGGAGGGAGGACTATGGAACAGATACTTGCTACAGACAAGAGAGGAGAATTTTGCCCGTAGGCACTTTTTACCAAGTGGATATTTGAGCTTGAATATTCAGCGGAGTGCTCTTAGAGTCCCATGTGACTCGGGAGTGCCCAGGAGTCTGTTCAGATCTCCACCAGAGTTATGCTAGTAACAGCAGTGCCCTGCGTACTGCAAAAGTCTGTTTGCTCAGTGCTCCCCACAACCTAACTAGAGTCACTGGGATGTCCCTCCGAACTTTCAGGAAGGGAGAAGACAGGAGTCAGCGTCGAACAGAGTTGCAGAGAAAGGCAAAATTGTGGCATGATGTCCTCACGCTGTTTGCAGAGCGTTGATTTTCTTCCCTGCAACGTTAGCATCACAGGACTAAGCTGAATCACAACGAAGCAACAGCCCAGTGCAAACTTGGCACCACAAGGTCAGGCCATTGGAGCAGAATTATTCCGTGGCCCTCTCCAATCCCATTTGATGTCGATGTAGCTCTCAAGCTCTTTCGGGTAGTGTCTTTGCAAAAGACAACAGCAGCTCCTAAAGAGTTATTCCAGATTACAGCATCCAGCCCTGCTCCGCAGGTCCAGTTACAGACCTGATGGATCTGTTTAGTGTACTTCTCCTGCCAGGAGTCTGCAGACTAAGGATGAAGTTAGCATGCACATCAACAAAACAAAGTGAATGGTTTTGCATTTGTTTGCCCTCCCTTCCTAAATATACCCAATACACTCATCAGCATTACGAGCTCACAAGCCATACTCTTTCCATTTGCAAAGGCGTAGCTGAGCTACAGAAGTGGAGGAAAAGCATCGGAAACCACAATGCTCCCTACATTTTTTTTCTGCACTTGAATAACTTAACAAAAGAAAAGTCAAATGGATTCTCTGAATTTGGTTACAAAAAATCATCTGGGCATGAACTTTTATCTCAAGTTTCAGCCTTTACGGTCAAGTTATAAACCCCTGAAAATAGGAGCTTATAGTGGGAAACCACGACCCCACCCTTCACGGCAGCAGTACAAACAATGCCGCGATATCACCATTTGATTATTCACCTAGCAACATTTTTTCATAAGGGTCAGTTCCATGAATACTATACACGTGAATAAAAAAATACATATATTCTCTTTAAACAGGAATCCCAACTCCAGGCGCACGGAGGCTGCAGTGCAGAGATTAGCACTGTCCGGAAATCCCAAAATCCCATCCCAAGCAGCTGACTACCCTCACAAATGGTGGCTGTTGATCAGACTTCGGAGCTGTTTAGCCACAGTGTCTATCAGCTTCTGCTTGTCCCTCTCATTCTTCCGGAACTGCGCAAAGACATTGTTCTTACGGCTGGTGTCTTTCATCCTGTGCAGAATGGAAACAACCAGTCAGGTTACTTCATCTCATACATCACTGCTAGGTACCTTACCTAAAAAACCTCCTACAGAACAGCACGCCTGCATTTCCCTAGGCACACCTTTCAGAAGTGGTGTGCCGAGTCTTCATTTATTCACTCTAATATAAGGTTTTGCGTGCCACTCATACATTTTAACGTTTTTAGAAGGTCTCTTTCTATAAGTCTTTAATATATAACTAAACTCTTGTTGTATGTAAAGTAAATACGGTTTTTAAAATGTTTAAGAAGCTTCATTTAAAATAAAATTAAAATGCAGAGCCCCCCGGACTGGTGGCCAGGACCCCGGCAGCGTGAGTGCCACTGAAAATCAGCTCGCGTGCCACCTTTGGCATGCGTGCCACAGGTTGCCTACCCTTACCCTAGGCTTTCAAGGACAGCTCTGTTCATACAGTAGTTTAATATCTGACACATCCACAGTAAGGTGACATTCTTGTACTGCCAGAGAGATAGTAGATGATCTAGGTCTTTCCCATCTCTAGCTTCTACGATCTGGGTGCAAACAAGGACGTATAAAGCCAGCGCCCAATACTACGCTGAGGCATTCCACTGTATAAAAACGTCTACAGATTTGTTCTTTAAACTCTGCAGTCACAAAAAAAGAGCCAATCTCATGGCAGAATGTTTATTTATGTGGTACCTTAATGCCAAAGCACTGTCTAGGTTCAGGTTCATCTAGTTCCCCTTCCCTTGCTTAGATCTATGTTGCTGTGTCCATGTCAATGCTTATTAAGTGATAAATGACAATACTGCAACGTAACTGCACAAGAGTCAGGAAATTCAGAAATCTGGAATTAAGCGTATGGCGTTAACTTTTACAACTTAAAATATACATCGCATGTGGCTGAGTTTCACAGCATCTGTGAGGCCACCAAGTTCCTGACTTGTGAGTTTAAAAGATTATGCAATTTTACACACAGGTGGAGTTTCTGCATTGGCTTCCCTGATTTAGGAATATGTTCTTGATGCCTGTATTTTTATTAAAAGTCTAAATATGAAAATAAATCACTTATTTGCCTCAGCATCTTCCCTGAGATGCTGGGATCTCCAACTGTGCCAAAGAGAGGGAGAGAGATAACAACGGTGGGTCAGAAAGTGAAACAGATGCAGCTACATTCCTTCCAACATGCAGAGGTCCAGATTCATGCATGCTTGTGTAGGCACGTGTAGGGGGCACTGTGCCTGGCCCCTGTGTCAGCTGCGCATAGTCTCTGTGCACATTGGCAGAGCATATAACATTGGAGGCCATTGAGAGCTAAAGTAGGCAAGCAAGGTTGACAAAAAGTGTCACTCCAAGCCATTTACAGCAGCAGCTGGAGATGGCAATGTACTGGATTCAAAGCAGGGAAGGGGACTCTGTATGTCAAACTGGAGGTGTAATGTCTAGCATGAGGAGACATACCTCTGCTAGTTCAGACTGAGCTAGTGCGCTAAAAATAGATGCGCGTACGATCCCATCTAAGGCTCTAGGTACATATGCAGGGGACTAGACACCTTAACTAACGTCCAGCCCACTGGCCTCAAAAAGCCACCGCTGTTTTCTGATAACACCATTGTTTGTAAATTATTATTATTTTTAATCAGGCCTGCCAGAGGTAATTATCCGTGGGCAAGGCGCACACATTTTCAGACCTGGATACCTAAAATGAAGCAAAAAAGTAATCTGATTTTCAGAGGTGCTAAGCTCCTATTTAGCTGTCTAAACATGGATTGAGGGGTCGAGCTTTGAGCACCCAAATGGGGAAACAGTGAAAATTTGCAGTTTTCCAAATTAGAGGCTTTTGAGTTATCCAATCAGAAAACAAACCTCTTGAAACACCTCTGACAGATAAAAAATCCACTAAGTTCTCATGCTCCTATCTCACAAAAAGTGCGGAATCTGAAACATTCAAAACACTACAAACCTTGGAACTATTAACAAAGGATAACAACAACCTTTATCCCAAAGGATAATTATTTGCTAACGTTATAAATGCCTGAAGACGGGCTTACATTGGGAGTGCTTTTTAACTATATAGCTTGTGACGATTTTACTCAGCAAAGCAAATGCGTTAGTGCACATCTTAAAAGAAAGCGTGTGATTGCCGGAAGCACCATGACATTAATCAGGGAGCGTGTACATGATGGGAGATGTTGTTAGTGTTGCTAAGTGCTACAGGAGACAATATTTTTAATATTACAGATTTCATGTTTTGAAGTGTTATTTAAAATAATAATTAGCACTTATATTTGTCCAAGGGGGCTCTGAGTGATTGCAGACAGACACCCTGCATGGCTCCAACTGCTGGATCAGGGCCACAATGAGTAAAATGGATAAAACGATTGTGTCCATTGACATTGTCAACACGCTGATTATTGTGGCAAAGACAGATAAGCTCGAGCTCTTACATTTGGGGCTGGATCCAAACTTCCTGAAAAGCTGGATGTTACCAGATGGGATTATTTCCCCAAAGATTTAAGTAAACTACAGAAACTGAAGGTGTGTGAAAGCCTTGTATAGTCCATGCCCGGGACTGAATAGAGTAACGAGAGTGCATTGTTCTAAAGTATGGCAGAACGCAGGCCTCTGGAAGAATATTACTTGAGTTTACTAGCTGACACGGAGTATAACGAGGTATGCCAGAGAAAGAAAACATGCACATTTTGGAGATGGTTGAATTTTTCTATTTGATTACTGTTTGATATGATAATACAGGTTTTAATCCTGCCATCGGTATTGGGCCGACAGACCCGTGAGCCTGCACAGATTCCGACTGATGTCAACTGTAGGATTGGCGTCTTCGATGTCTGGTGTATAATGTAATTAACGGTGATTCCAGCAGCTGTGTAATAGTATACGGGGACCATTGCATGACGTGCATCTATTGCTGATGCAATACAATGCTTTTTGGCTTTGCCATGGCAATCGTTACCTAGAAGAGTGACAAAGCAGCATTGTAATGATTTTTTTAAAACATCTGTGCATTCCTTTGGCAGTTTTATCTGTATTCAAAACATTGTGGGCAGTAAAGCTTATTTAAACTGGGCGCCTGTACTACCACTTGTATGTGGCTGGATTTCTTTCCTCTGGACATAGATTTGAATCCATAAATTGAAGCACATGGGCTTGTGCAAACTACGTGATTCATATTAACCCATGCATACAAAGTCATTTCACCTTTATCTGGCTAGAAAAATCTAATCATCTTTTTTTTTAAACCTTTCCATAAATTCTAAGGGCCACATTTTGTATTTTAAATGTGTATTCTAGGCTCCCAATCATGTCTGAGGGTTCACACCAGCACGGAGGGCAGAGCTTGGTCATAACTATGCGTTTTCACTCAATCCCATGTGGTTAGGCTTCAGTGTTCTGGAGAAATTGCTGAAATTCATGGGCCACGTCCATTTCAACATTAGCTGCAGAAAATTCCATAGAGAATTTTGGTTGAGGGCGGTACTCTATCATGCAAAAAAGCAAACTTTTTTTGAGTGTTGGGGGGTAGCCGTGTTAGTCTGTATCTACAAAAACAACAAGGAGTCTGGTGGCACCTTAAAGACTAACAGATTTATTTGGGCATAAGCTTTCGTGAGTAAAAACCTCACTTCTTCGGATGCAGCAATCTTTTTTTGAGTGGCCAAACAGTGCTTCAGGAATTGTAAGCTCTTTGGAATAAGGACTGTCCCTTTTATGATGTGTCTGCTCAATGCCTAGCACAATGGGGGTTATAGGTACCATCATAATAGAGTTAACAATCAAAACAAAGGGAAGTTAAACTTTGTCCCCATCCCAGCCAACACCACCTCAGATTCAGTCAACTTTTGTTGAAATGAATCCATAGAAAAGCAACACGGTAAAAGCTCCTCTTTTAGTCGTATTTAGTGCATTTGAGACGATAAGGTTACAGGGGGGGAACAGTTTCAAAGAGAGCTTGCATTTAGATCGTTTAGTGCTCCATTTAAATCAAACAATAAAGGATTCATTGCAAGGTGAATGTAAAAGCCCAAACGAGCAGCATACTTACACTCGTGATATCCTACGAAAGAGGTGAGATTAGGAAAAGAGATAATCATGAAAATAAGTTAAAAAAAAATGAACCAGCAGATCAGACTGTCCTGTTGGCAAAGCTAGTTACGTACAGGTATGGCCGGAATTCTGGTCTCGATGTCTGGAGGAGGAGAGGAAATGTACCCGCGTAAAGTCAATGCCGAGAGTTCGAGCCATTGAGACGGCATACGCTTTAGACGCCATTGGGACTAGTGGTGCGAGATGGAGTCAGCGCTACGTTATACACAGAGTCCACAAGGCGCCTCGAGTCTCATGGGGGTGTAAATAAGGCTGCGGAATCAAGCACCTGAATGTCGGCATGAACCTTACAATCACTTAGCTGAGGTATGTGCCAAGCCATTTGATGCACCGGGCTGCGTCTGGCAAACCACCTGGACACGTGAAACTCACTTTGACTAGATCAAAATGAGGCAAGTCCCGTGACGCTGGCAGGTGGAATTATTTGTTGTGGCTTTTTGAAACAAATACTCGATATGGAGGACTGATGTTCAAATGCTGCACAGGTGATATGGAGACATGGGTGAGATGTGTTGTAAGTGCCAAGCGTAAGGAGCTCTCCTCCCTCCCCTCCCATGGGTTTCTAGCTAGGCAGGCTAATTCCCGACTGACCCGGGAGTGGATTCCTCACCTTCCATCGACTTCAGTCACTTAGGCCTTGGCTACACTGGCAATTCACAGCGCTGCACTTGCTGCGCTCAGGGGTGTGAAAAAACACCCCCCCCGAGCGCAGCGAGTGCAGCGCTGTAAAGCTATTCCCCGCGGAGAGGTGCCTAGCACTTTGCCTGGGGTAAACTGCATCCTGCTAAAGCACTGCTGTTGCCACGGTGTGAACCAAGCCTTGTATGCAGACGGTTATTACCATACCATGAATAACTCAGCATCTATGTACAGTGTATTACCTGTCCAAAGAACTTGACAAATTTTAATTAACCCC